AGTTCAGCTCCAAGGTGGCAGAGACCCAAGCCTTCTAGGCTGCTAGTGCTGCAGGGTTGAGTGGAGAGGGATTAACAGAAGGGGAGAAGACAGGGGTGGAAGGGTGTTTACACACCATGAATTTTACAGACCTCTCAGTTCACAGAACAAAGAAAAAGAGAATAAATATTTCAGACGACTATAAAACAAACTTGGATTATGTCAGATCTAACATCAAATGTCATGGAAGCACCATGATATCAAACAGGCTGGAGAAGAAAAACCACCACAGAAAATGGAGAGGAATCAATATGGATCTGGAGGAATTCATGAATGATCTGCCAGAGCTTATGCATTCTGTTTTTATTAATTTTATTTCTTTTTATGCCTGTTTTGTTCTGCAAAGATTCCTGTTCAGCATCCCAAAAGACTGTGAATAAAAAGCATAAATTACAATGGAAGAGGAGGGAAAATGGCAGAACAGGAGAGAAATGAGCCCAGTTTGAGACCAGTTCCCAATTCTCCAGGAATCACATGACATTACAGATTTAATTCTGCCCCTTCACCACAGACAAAAGATAAGTGCATAGTTTTTCTTTTTAAATAAATTTTTAAAAGATAAAGTAATTCTAAAAGTTGAAAACAGACCTAATTTCCCATACAAGAATCATTTCAAGTAAACCTGAAATAGTATTTTGACTATACTTAGCCTAAGAATAAAAATACATCTTAAACTACATTGATATAAAACAAACAAACCTGCATCCAGTAGATTTCATTTTACGAATAATATTTTATTATTATTTTGAGTCTATAATATATGTAGTAGGATAAAGTAAATAAGTAATTACACTGGGTTGTTAGGAACCAAAAATTTCAGTGTAAAAGAGAAACAAAATCAAAGAAAGTTAAGTAAAAACCCTATAATCAGGGATATGTGGGAAATCTCTGTACCCTCCATTGAATTTTGCTGTTAACATAAAACTGCTCTAAAAATTAAAGTCCATTCTTTAAAAAGCCTATAATCTTCCATGTGAATTGGAAATACTACTATAAATGAAAATTTTTTTTCTTTCTAAAAAAATATTTATTTCCTAGCAATATTCACTGAAATAGCTTAGAACTGACACTAGCCAGTAGCAATTAGCTCCTCTAACACTCAAATTATGGTATCGAAATATTTCCCAGTAAAAAGAATCAGGCCCCTTCAAGAAAATTACTTAATCTAAGTCTGGGCAGAATATGTACAACATAAGCCTAAAACTTTCAAAAACTATATTAGTATCACAACAAAATGACGTAAGAGCCAATTTGAAAGCTCCAACTGGCTAAAGATGAGATAGTTTAAGCATCAAAAGATTTATCACTTCAACTAATTGAAAAATATCCGATATATAATAAGGGCCAAATTCATAATACTCTGTCCCACCCCAAAGAAAAACTTATTAGTTATCCTTGGAGATGGCTGGGCAGCAACTCATTATTCTGAAATTTGATGAATAAAGAAAAATTTAGGGTCTGTCTTGCCTTTGCTATAGATTTTTTCAGAGTAAACAATTGATGAGCAGAGTTCTTTGTAGAAAAACCACAGCTAGTAAGTGTAAAAAACATGATGAAATTAAAATCACCATTTTCAGCGCTGATGGCAAGATTATGTTTCCAAAAAATTCCTTCAGAATGCAGAATTGAAATGAAAGAAGTTTCCATTGTCTCTTCAATATTTAAAAGCCAACTAACTCTTCCCAGGAAGCTTATTTAATTCTCTGGCCTACAGAAGTCCGAAACAAATGTATCATATTATTTTTTTAAAGATCACCATTTTGCAATTCCAAGTGGAATAATGACTTTAGGTAACAATCATCGACTGCTAAAATAATAGATGAAAAGTTGATGAGGAACTTTCTAGTGGAGAAAACAAGCTGACAACATACAGACCCATGGGTCAATCTTATCATCACTGAAAGCAATGAAGTCTTCCAATCAAAAAAGGGAAAAAGTTGACTTTGAATCTATTAACCTCTAGCTTTTTTATAGAGCTCTAGATCTATCATTTTATAAAAAATACGAGTAAGAGTACAACATATTAAATATCACCACAAATCCAAAATGTAGGACATTTTAAGATATAATATCCAGATAAGCTAAAGAAATAAATAACATAAAATAAGAGGGGAGGGTGTTATAGAATTAGAGAGACTTAAGAAATATGCCACATACAATATATAGACCCTGTTTTAGGGTCCTGATTCAAACAAAGGAACTGTAAAGAGACATAATTCCTCAAGAAACCAAAGAAGAAACTAAACCCAAAGCTAGCAGGAGGAAGAAAATAATAAAGATTAGAACAGGGATAAATAAAATAGAGACTAGAAAAACAAGAGGAAAAAAAAAATCAATGAAACAGAGTTTCTTTTTTAAACATCAAAGTTGACAAATCTTTAGCTAGATTAAGAAAAAAAGAAAAGACTCAGATAATTAAAATTAGAAATAAAAGATGAAACATTACAACTGATGTCCAAGAAATAAGGATTATGAGACTACTATGAACACCTGTATGCCAACAAATTGGGTGACCTAGAAGAGATAGATAAATTCTTAGAAATATATAACCTATCAAGACTGGATTATAAAGAAATAAGAAATCTGAACACACTAACTAATAAGAAGATTGAATCAGCAACTGAAAATTCTCAAAGAAAAACCCAGGACCAGATGGTTTTGCTAGAGAATTCTACCAAACATTTAAAGAAGAATTAACACCAATCCTCTTGAAATGCTTCCAAAAAAAAACTGAAGAGAACACTTCTAAGTTCATTCTATGAGGCCAACATTACCTAACACCAAAGCAGACACGACATAAAAAAAAGTACAGACCTCAACAAAATAACAGCAAACTGAATTCAACAACAGATTAAAACAATTATACACCAAGTAAGATTTATTCCTGCAGTGCAAGAATAGTTCAACATATGAAAATCAATGTAATACACCATATTAACAAAATGAAGGATAAAAACTGCATGATCATCTCAATTGAGGCAGAAATAGATTTGACAAGATTCTTGACACCTTTTCATGACAAAATAGCAAACTGGGAACAAAAGGAAATTACTTCAACATAATAAAGGCCATCTATAAAAGCCCACAGCTTTCATCATACTCTATGGTGAAAAACTGTGAGCTTTTTTTCTACAACGAGGAACAAGGCAAGGATGCTTACTTTTACCACTTCTATTCAACATCATATTGGAATTCCTAGCCAGAGCAAGTAGGCAAAAAATAAATAAATAAAAGGCATTCAATTGAAAAGGTAGAAGTAATATTATCTTTGTTCATAGATGACAAGATAGAATGAATAATAAACGAATTCGGCAAAGTTGCAGGATACAAAATCAACATACAAAAATTAGTTGCATTTCTATACACTGACAATGAACAATCCGTAAAGGAAATTAAGAAAACAATTCCATTTATAACAACATCAAAAAGAATAAAATACATAGGAATAAACCTAACCAAGGAGGTGAAAGACTCATACACTGAGATCTACAAAATACTGCTGAAAGAAATTAAAGACACAAATACATATTCCACGTTCATGGAGTGGAAGACTCGTATTGTTAAGATGTCCATACTGACCAATATGATCTACAGTCAGTACAATCTCTATCTAAACCCCGATGGCATTTTTTGAAGAAATAGAAAAGTTCATCCTAAAATTCATATGGCACTGAAAAGCTAAATAGCCAAAATAATTTTGAAAAAGAATAAAGTTGGAAAACTCATACTTCTGATTTCCAAATATATTATGAAGCTACTACAGTAATCAAAACACTGTTGTATTGACATAAAGATAGACAAGGAGACCAATGGAAGAGAATACAGAAGCCAGAAATATGCCCTCATATATATGCTCAAATGTCTTTGACAGGGTGCCAAGATCACTCAATGGGGAAAGGACAGTCTCCTCAACAAATGGTGCTGGGAAAACTAGCTATCCACATGCAGAAGAATGAAGTTGGATCTTTACCTAACGCCATACAAAAAAATTAACTCAAAATGGATCACCTACACATAAGACCCAAAACTATAAAACTCTTAGACGAAAACAGAGGGAAAAAGCTTCATGATATTGACTTGGAAATGATTTCTTGGCTATGATACCAAAAGCGCAGGCAACAAAAGCAAAAATAGACAAATGGAACATCCTTAAAACTTTTGACCATCAAGGACACAATTGATAGAGTGAAAAGTCAATCTATGGAATGGGAATATTTGCAAATCATATATCTGTAAGGCGTCAATACCCAGTATACAGAACTACAACAACAAAAAATCAAATAACCTGATATGAAAATAGGCAAAAGACTTGAATAGACATTTTTCCAAAGATGATATACAGATGACCAACAAGCATATGAAAAGATGCTCAATATCACTAATCATCAGAAAAATGTAAATCAAAACAGTAAGTTATTACTTCACACCACTAACAAAAACAAATGATAACAAGTTGTGGTGAGAATGTAGAGAAATTGGAATCCTTCTGCACTGTTGGTGGGATTGTAAAATGGTGCAACTTCTATGGAAAACAGTATAGAGGTTCCTCAAAAAATAAAAAAAAAACAGAACTACTACGTAATCCAGCAATCCCACTTCTGGGTACATATCCAAAAGAAGAGAAAGCAGGGTCTTGAAGAGATATCCACACACTCATGTTTACAGCAGCGCTATTCACAATAGACCAAAAAATGTGGAAGCAACCTAAATGTCCAATGATGAATGAATGGACAAACAAAATGTGATACATACATACAATGAAATATTATTCGGCCTTAAAAAGAAAGTCTTGTCACATGCTACAACATGGATGAACACTGAGCATATTATGCTAAGTGAAATGAGCCATCACAAAACAAAAATGTATGATCCCACTTACATCAAGTACCCATAGTACTCAAATGCATAGAAACAAAGTAAAATGGTGGTTACCGGGGTTGAGGGGAGGGGGAAAAAGAGGGTTTCAGATTTGCAAGATTAAAAAGCTCTGGAGATCGGTTTCACAACGGTGAGAATATACATAATATTACTGAACTGCACCCTTAAAAATCACTGAGATGATAAATTTGATGCTATGTGTGTTTTTTTACCACAGTACAAAAAAAAAAAAAAAAGGCAATTGAGATCATCAGAAAAAAACTGAACACTAACTCTTTAGACAGATAAATGCATTTGAATCCTGTTACTCACATATAGCAGATACAGCTACGTAAGCCTCAAACAGTGGGGAAAAAAACACTTTTATGGAGAGATAGAAGATTTGACTTCTAGCCCCAAATATCCTAACTGGGTATTAGATGAGATTAAAGAATTGCTGTTAATTCCACTGGATATAGCAGCATTAGGGATGTACTTTTTAAAAAAGAATTCATACTGAAGTATTTTTTGGTGAAATTATGTTTTTTAAAATTTGCCTTAGATATATACTCCAGCCAAAAAAGGAAAAATAAAAAAGAAAAGAAAAAGCATGGGGCAGGGCTAGATGAGAAATAGCAGAATAGTCACAATTGTTTAAACTAGGTGATGAGTACATGGGGATTTGGTATGTTGTTCTCTCTATTTTATGAATACTAAAAAGTTTTTCACAATAAAAGTTTAAAACAAAACAAAACAAGACGTGAAAGATGGATGGATGTTTAGAATGGATGGTAGTAGGATTAATTTAGTGAGGCTTAATAATGACAGTATCATACTTTACATATTATTGCTAATTTTTAAAAGCATTACATTTCATTGTAGCTTGCATTTAACAGGTTTTTTAAAAGAAGAAACTAAAATAAAATTGAAACATCTTCCAAGCTTCAAGTAAATGTTTCTCACCACCTCCTCCGGCCATAAGCAAACAAAATAAGGAAGATAAGTGAGTGAAGAACAAGGAACGCAAAAGGTGCCGTGATGAGCCATATCTGGGCAATAATGGAAAAACCACATCATGGAATACAAGCCACATATGAGAAGGTGTGGCTGACTATTCCTCGTACACAGAAGATGGACTTGTTTTGTCCATTGAGGAGTCAATCACACAAGGACTTCAGAGCGAGGATGAAGAGTACACAAGACTCAAAAACGATGGCACTCAAGAGAAAGAGATAAAGATCCAAGACAAAAAAGAGGATGTGAGCTAATTTCATCCATCTCAGGGCAATGATGAGAAAGATCCAAAATTAAGAAATCAGTAAAATAAGTGGAATGGCAGGTGAGTCAAACACTACCAGCTACACCAAAGGGCGGAAGACAAATGGTACAACTATTGTAGTCTGGTGAAATCTAAACAAAAGAGAACTGAAAAGCCAATAACGCTGATCCAAAAAATGGGGTCAGGTCACAAGAAAGTGAGAGGGCTTCGAAGAGCAAGCTTTCTGAGGCCGGGAGAGGTGGTGAGCTTGGAGTGCCACCATGGAGAAGGCAGTCAGGGAACTCGAGAGCTGGACCACTGCCCTGGGCAAGGCATCTCACCTCTCTTACAATCCTGCTATGTGCAAAATGTGCTAATAGAAAGGCTCTCTAGGGTCTCCTCCTCGGTTCTGAATAAATTTTCCTCCAAACTTATTCTTGGCTATAAGGCTATTTAAAAACAAAGGGGGCAAAATAAGGAAACCACTGAAATATCGACTCAAAGACATGTTTTAAATTTGATTGTAAAGGCTGCTGTCAATACCCTGTTGCCTGGAAACAAGAAGGATGGCCTTCAGGATCCTCCAGGATTTCATGATCCACCAAGAGGGCAAGGAGGAAAATGAAGTGACTTCCTCAGGCCAGGCAAAGCAGGCACAAGGACACACTGACACAGGCAGGGGAAAGCAAAGCCCCAGCAGCAGGTGGCATGCTACCCACTCACATTCCCCAGGACTGGCTGCTCCATAAATTCCCAGGGCACCTGTGAAGCGTTACTCCTTGGCAAGCCCTAACGTGATGTTTACTAATTAACAACTGGGAGTGCTTCCTGTGTAAACTCATGTGACAGGTCTCAGTATCCTCCCCAGGAAACTACCTTGAGGTAGATATAATTATCCTCATTTTAGGGTGAGGGAACCCGAGGCTCAGTGAAGTCAAGTCATTTGCCCAGTGCCGCCTGACCAGTGAGCGGCCAGGTGAGCCTCTCCAGCCAGAGTGGTGTCTATATTCCCTGTCGGAGAAAGACTCTTAATCACAAAAAAGTTAATGCTGAGCCCAGGTCCTCAGTCTTCTCAGTGAGGCCTGTCCTAACAATAGTGCTTATTCTTACCCTAGGGTTAAAGTCCTGTGTGTGGCACAAGGGCCGGACCAACAGAGGTAAGGTCATTCTGGACACAGTAACCTCTGATTATTTTTCTACGGATCCATCCGCCAGCAGAGACGGCCCTGTGGATATGTGGCCAGAGCCCTAGGACAGCTCTGATGTGGTCAAGCCAGGGGGTTGGAAGCCATCCAACAGGAAGGACAGTCCCAGCGTCCCACAGCCAGAGCCCAGAAGGAAGGCAGGCCTCAAGGCCCTCAAGGCACAGAGCCCTGCAACTCCCCATGTGCCTTCCTTACTGGTAGAGAGTGGACCTCGGTTTCTCATAGAAATCACACGCAAACCTGGGGTAGGGGCCCCAGTTTCTTGACTCCTCCTCTAATATAACAGACATCCTACACTGAAACTGGCCAACTCCCCTCCGAGCCCTGGCCTTTGTGGTTACAGGTGAGTTGAAATCAGACTCGAGCAAATGACTTTTAAAGAACATCGGGTTCTAGGCCCTTGCTGTTCTCTTTACACTGTTAACTGTTCAAATCCTGTACTGGCCTGTAACACATACAGCTACTTAACCATCACGCAGTTGAACGAACACTTTCACGGAGAGGTAGATGTCGATTCTAGCCCAGAATCTCCTACACACCTTGTCATGTTGCCCATGGCCTACCTCCCACTCTCTGCCTCAGTTTCCTCATCTCTAAATAGGGAAAAGTAGCCTGTCTTTAGTAAACTCACCCAAGCGTTAAAGAAAAGGAGACCAGGGAGTCAAACACCCTCCAAACTCCTGTGCAGCAGGACTAACTACTGCCATCACTGACCACAGCGCTCACGTTTCTCTCCAGCCCGCCCACAATCCCGGAGGCTCAGCAGCACGGTTATACAGCATCGCTCATGGCCTGGAGTAGGATGAGCCCTATATTCCAGTGGGTTTTGCTGATGCTCTTGATACAGGTGACTGTGACAGAACCAAGGGGAAAAAGAAAACCTTCTTCTCCAGCAGCCAGAGGGGCCTCCTTCTCACCTGCTCTGCCAGATTACCTAGCAACATGCTCTTTACCCAGAAAAGCTCTGGACACTCATCCTGGAAACTGCCTAAGTCCTAAAGAGGGTTTAAAAACACTCAGAGTTCCTTCCCTAGTCTGTTTTCTAGATATCTCTTTCAAGCAACACCATGTGAGCTCTGCAGAGGAGGATAGCTTACTCCACATCATCTGGAAGACAGATGCCTGTTCTTATGCATGTGACTTTAGTGGCCTTACTAATGCATATTAAAAAGCAACTGGCCATCTACAGAGTTAACCTGCCTGAACTTGCCAGGCAGCCTTACCACAAATCACTATTCAAGACAGACTTGTGACAAGGGTGTGTTGGCAGGGCTGGGCAGGAAAGACTGGAGGGAATCAAGCAGGCAACCTGCTCTGAAAGATGGAGAATCACAGGCAAGGGCAACGAAGAGGAGTCTAGGGCAAGGCCAGGTTCAGTGAGCCCGCTGCAGGATGAGTTGTGTAATCTCCGCCCTACTCCCCAATCTCATGGGTATCCCATAGTAGGCCGTGCCTGGGCTGACATACACAAATGTAGTCTGGGCAACTTGGTAGAGACCAGCAAAGAAGGGGTTCAGGAAATAGGCTGCCACGTTCAAGGGGAAGATTTGGCCAGCATGCGTGTGCCCAGAAAGAATCAGGTTAATATCCGGCCGAGCCTGAAGGGCTCTCTTGGCAGCCAGGGGCTGGTGAGCTAGCAAGATGGTGGCGTGGTCTGGGCTGCAGCCCCCCAGGGCCTTCACGAGATCCATGCCATGGCCCGAGTAGTGCAGGAGGTCTGCTTCAATATCATCCACCCCAGCCAAGCAGATCCAGTCGTGATCCTCACCACCACCATGGTGGGCCTGCACGGCAGAAATCTTCACGTTATCATTGTGAAGGGGCCTGACATTCAAGGACTCCAGCAGTGCAAACCAGTTGCTGACATCCGATGTGTAATATTCATGATTCCCCGTGACAAAGTAGGTGCCGAGGCGTGATTGAAGCTGGCCCAATGGAGCCACAGCTGTCCGAAGGATTGAGGCTTCTGAATCACAGAGGTCACCCACGATCACGGTGACATCTGGTTCCAGCATGTTCACCATCCTCACAAACATCTCCATCTTGGTCCTGCCTACGGTGGGGCCCAAGTGAATGTCTGAGAGAAGCACGACCTTGAGGTTGTCCATAGACAGGGGCAGCTGATGGATGGGCACCTCCACGGTTTTCACAGCTGGGGGCTGGGCGGCGTTCAGAAGCCCGACTATGCTGAGCACAGCGGTCACCACCACTGCCAGGGCTGGCCTGAGCGCCAGCTTCCTTGTCTTGTCAAGGCTGCCCACGACCTTACCACTGCGCCACGCCAAGAGCTGGTAGGCCTGCTCCATGCCGCTGAGGGTACAGAGGAAGAAGAGCATGATGATGTACGCCCCCAGGCAGGAGTAGGCAGCCAAGGAAAAGAGATAGGGCTCCTCGGCCACTAAAAAGAGCATGGTGAAGAAACTGGAATGGGCCAGGGCCAGAAATGTCAGGACAGCCATCTTCCAAAGCTGGAAACAGGCCGACTCTGCGGCTGGGGAATGGCTAAGGTTGCTGACCGTGCTGCGCCAGATGTAGAGGGAGCCAATAAGCATGAGCGAGTTGGCGAACAGGGCCAGCTGCAGGCGTAACAGCCAGCGCCAGGCCCTGAGTTCAAGGTTCTCCGCCAGATAGGAGCGGGAGATAATCATGGACACGAAGACGGTGCCAGCAGCCAGGGCGGCCTTCACACCCAGGGACAGCTGCCTGAAGATCACCATTTTCTCTGCTCCTAAGAAGGTCCCCTGTCAGTTCTGTGCAAGCGGGCTCTGCAAGGTGAGTGTTCCTTAGAAAGGACAGTGGTCAAGGAGAGAGTTCCAGGTCAGCTCCGCCTGCAACCAGGAACCGGTGTCAGCTTTGTGGGATATTAGAGTTTTCTTGTCCCCATTCAACACCTGAAGGCCACTTACATCTGCCCACCAGTCAGTGGCTACACTTTCTTATTGAAATACAAACACACTGGATTATTAACACGATGTGCAGTTCTCATTTTCTTCTTTCCAGTTTTGGAATGTTTAAAGTTTTTCCACAACGTGTATGGAATGCCTTTTATAATATGAAAAATATTATTCTAAATCAGCAGTTCTCAAAGTGTGGTCTGGGGAGACTCAGGGGTCCATTTAGTCAAAACTGTTTTCATAATACTACTAAGCCTGACTCTTCCATTCTCGTTCTCTCACGAATGTACAGTGGAGTTTTCCAGAGGCTACATACCATATATGGCGAGACTGAATGCAAAAGTAACCATGAGAATCCGACTGTCATCTATTAAGATAGACATGAAAGAGATTTGCAAAGATGAAAAACAATACCACTCTTTGCCTTATAATTTGGAGAGAAATATTGTTTTTTTCCAAAGAAACATATGTTTCTTAACGAGTAATGGATTTATTGTTTCTTAAGTAAATTAATAAATACATAAAATGTGTCTGTTTTAATTTCTAGGACGGTTAAAGTTTGAGAACCGCTGTTCTAAACAAATGTAAGCAAGGAAATCATAAAAAGATTGTCTGCTGGTACCATTTTTCAGCTCTAGGCCCAGGAGGGACACCTAGACACCTAAGAATTCTTGAGTTGTAGCCAGCTTCCCTGTGTGGGCCTTGGGCATGGCAGTCACAGTGTACCCCCCTGCTAAATGATACTGAACAATGATGAGCAACCATTACTCAGGGGATCATCCTGTCCACCAGCTCCTCACCCTAAGTTTATCTCTCTCCCCTCCCACAACCCTCTTAAATATTGGTTAAGATCTGCCTCCCTCCAAATCCCCATCTTTCTCTGCAGCTGTTCCCTGGAACCATCCCCTCAATTCCACCCTGGCCAGTGGTTCTCACAGCTGGCTAGCTCTCACCCTGGGGTCTCCTAGACCCCCTCCATCCCCCCAAAAAAATCTGGGACAGATGAACCACTGACGGGGTAGACAGAGGTTAGCAAATACTCAGTTTGAGGTGCCTTTTTCCCAAGAAGAACCCCAAATTAAAATATTTCCAAAAACTTAAGATTCTCAACCTTGATTTTTAATAAACGGATGACTTTGCTCTTAGGCAAGTTATTCAAAGCCGTTGATCAAAGGGTATAATTTACAAGTCAACCGCACGAAATTTCACGACCTTCTACTTAAAGCACGCCCCAGACTCTGCCTATCCAAATCTGTTGGAACAAAAATTGGTTCGCTGAACGTGCGGAGGGTCAGGTGTCGGTGTCAACTCCCCGCAGTCCTCCTCCCGCCACACGTGCACGCCCCCACCTCCCACCTACTCGCCCCGCCAGACCTCCCTCCAGCAGAGGTGGCTGTCGCTTGCAGCCCGCCTCTCGCCCACGCTCGGCCTGGACCGCCAAACCCTGAAGGTCTGGAAAATCCAAACCAAAAAGGGAAGCGAAGAGGAGTGGCGAGAAGGGCACGAGTTGGTTGAAAAGATACCATCTGCAAGGAAATTGATCCACTGTTCCCATCGCTGGGGGCCTCCCCCGACCCGAGTTTTCTCCTTCCGGAGCGCTCCGCAGAGCACAAACGGGGCAACCGAGGGCGCCCCAAGCCAGAGCCCAAGGCTTCATCTAATAACGCGCGCTAGTCGGAATCCTTCTCCTGTAAATGGCAAAGCTGGAAGGGTTTCGGCGCACCTCCTCTCACCTCCTCGTTGCGGCCATAGGCAAGTGAGTCCAAGCGAAACCGGAGGCCGGAGCGGAACACACAAGAGACAGAGCTGCGGGGAAGGACGCGCGCCCCGCCCGGCCCGGCCCGCCCCGGACGGGAGGGCCAGACCACTGCCTGCGCTCCGCGGCTGCCTGCCGGCCGAGGCGCACTCGGGTCCCCAGGCCCACCGCCCTGCAGGACCCCGACTGGCCGCAGCCCCAGCCGCGTCCTCCGCCAGAATGTCCCCTATCAGTGCATCCCCGCGCGGGGGTCTTGCGGACTTACAGGCAAGCTGCGCGCGGTGACCAGCAGCGACACCAGCAGCAGAGAGAGGATGCGAACGACCCACGGCATGTCCGCCCTCTAGCTTCTTGGCTCCTCCGCAGTCGGCGCCCGGGCCAGCTGCTCCGCTTCACTTGACTGAGGACCCGCGGCCTGGCACCGCCCCTCGCCGGTCCTGCCGGCAGCCTCGGGGCCTGCTCCGCCCCGCGCTCCGCCCCGCGCCAGCAGAGCTGGGGGCGGAGAAGGGCAGGAGGAGCTTGGGGGATCACGCGCGGCCGCGTGACTCCGGGATAGTGTTATCTGGCCGGTGTCGGCGTCTGCCAGACCCTTTTGCCTTCGCAGGAGCCCTCGCTGTCAGCCTCTTGATAACGCGCCTCGCGGTTGGACTTTAACAAGGGTCTCCTCGCTCCCTGGCTGCTTCCGAGGACGGAAGGGGGAAGTTAAGACCAGATAAATCTGAATGCACTAGGTCCTGTATATGGGGCTCTCCGAAAAACTGTAAACCAGTGGCCCAAAAAATGTGGTCCCCGTACCAAATATATACTCGGAAATGTGTTAGAAATGGAAATTCCAGGGCCCCACCCTAGGAACTCTCTATCAAAAACTCGAGGGATGGGCTCCAGGAAGCTGTCATTTTACAAACCCTCCAGATTATTCTGGCGTATGCTAAAGTTTGAGAACCACTGTTGGAGATTACTGATAGATTTAGAGGTATGGTTCAGCTGTACTAAAATCATCTCGAATGCCAACCCTCAAGGTACCAGGGTCTGCAGAATATTTATTTCGTTGTTGGATTGTAAGAGATTAAAGCAACACCTCCCACCTTTCAGTTTTGCACTTTGAGCATCTCAACATCCTGGTGATGCTGATTTGGCAGATCAAATCAGGGTAAAATACACCCATGTTTCCTTTAAGGCTCAGATACAGTCTTAGAAATCCAACATTAAGTGATTTTGTCATTGTGTTTATATCGCAGAGTGTACTTAGACAAACCTAAGTAGTATAGCCTACTACTCACCTAGGTTAAATGGTATAACCTATTGCTCCTAGGCTACAACACTGTATAGCACATCGCTGTACAACATGAGAATGAATCAAGCGGAAGAGAAGACGATGTGCTCAAGAGATGCAGTACACAAGAAATGTATGAGGCAGCTGCTGGTGTAACAGGGCACACTGTTTCACAGCAAACTTTTTACTAAATAGAAGAGTATACTCTAATGATAAAAAGTATAGTATAGTAAATACATAAACCAGTAACATAGTTGTTTATTATCATTATCAAGTATTATGTACTATACATAATTGTGTGTGCTATACTTCTGTATGACTGGCAGGACAGCAGGTTTGTTTACACCAGCATCAAGACAAACATGTGAGTAATGTTGTGCTAGAACATTGTAATGGCTATGATGTCACTAGGCAATAGGAATTTTTCATCTCCATCATACTCTTATGGGACCGCTATTGTATATGTGGTCCATTATTGTCCAAAAGGTCATTACGGGGCACATGACTGTAGTAATATCTCTTTTTACACTTGGGAAAACAAAGGCTCTGTGATGTGAGTTAACTTGTCTAGCACTGCTGGTTACCCTAGCTCTGAGTCTGAAGTAAAAAATCTTTTCCTGTCTGGTTCCTGGCACTTTCTGAAAATCCCTTTTTCTTTTCACTGTGCAAATCTCAGCTTTAGTTGAAACTGAGTTTTAGAGGAAGGAGCCTTTAGGGAAATCACTTTTAAATATACATATTTAATTTTTTAATATGTAATTGATACGCCACAACATTCACTTGTTTAAAATATTTTCTAACTTTTGTTAACTTTTTATTTCAAAAAATAAAAATGTATGGTTAAATTATGCTATTGACAGACTCTCTCCTTGACTTGTCTTGTCCTGGCCTGCACTGCCCAGTCTTAGCAAAGAATCCTACTAAGTCAGATATCCCCCTCTTGATATCTGATCAAGTTCCTCGCCCTCCACTTTTGACATCTAAGTTCTTGACCTGCCTTTACCAAGAATCCCTTGATATCTCTTCATAATTTACCACCCACGAGCTCCTCACTCTGCCGATTGGCTATAATCTCCAGCTGTCTTTGCTGTACTTAGAATTGAGACCTACCTCTCTTCCCTATCACAATGGCGTTGACCTCTATTCCATTGAACTTGAAGGAACTCTCCCTTACCATTCAACAAGTGTTAGAATAATTTTTTTCTTTAACACTGTTTTTTACAACGTGTGGATCTTTAAAAATTTTGGGTTTAGTTTTTAAACATTGGGAGCAATGACTATAAAAGTCAAGCAAGAATAGTGGTTACTTATGGAGGCGAGGGGTTGAGATTGGGATGTGGCCTATGGAGGGGCTTCTGGGATGGAGCAACCAAGTTTTGTTTCTTAAATTGAAGGGTGGTTACGAGAGAATAAGCCATTATATAACTCATTAAGTCATTTGTGTGTGTATGTGTGTGTGTGTGCATGTGTGTGTGCAAGCCATTATATAACTCATTAAGTCATTCGTGTGTGTATGTGTGTGTGTGTGTGTGCATGTGTGTGTGTGTGTATGTGTGTGTGTGTGTGTGTTTAAACCACTTTGCCTTTATTTGACTAAATGACAACAGACAAAATAACTCTGAACAAATTAATAACACTCAGACAGGAAAACAATATACTGAATGCCAATTGAGGAAAACATTTCTGGGGCATCAACACAGATGATGGGACTAACCTTCATGCCAAGGCCAGCATTTCCTTCCAAGACTTTTTTTTTCCAGGTTCCTCAATACAAAACAATCTAACCAACCAAGTGTCTATTCAAAACAGTCAGTGCCTCCTGAAGAAGGGTGGGAAAGGCCACTTCGAACCTAAAGAAACACAGCTGGACTCATCCTAATGTTAAACCTGGCACTTTTGTTTTCTACCCCAATCTGAGTCCTAACATATAACTTTGGCAGACAGAAAATTTGTCTCATTTCTTTTAAGGAAAATTAACATTTGATAGTATAATCCCAAGAACATATTTCACTTATTTGGAAAAATAGAAGCTAGGGACCACTCTTTATCCCATGACAAGTTATTCTATGAGAGAAAACAAGAACAATCATTGTGTGACTTTGAAAAATATAACCTCCAAAAATATTTATACTGGTAAGAGTTAAAAAAAAAAATACCATTAGTAAAAAACATTGTTAAGGGAGGTATTTTCCCCTACCTGTATTGGTTCAACTCTGGTAAGAGTGTGCGCTGACAGAAAATGTAGAAGCTATGGCTTTTAAAAAGGGAATTAAAGTAAAGCTGCAAAATATACTTGATATGAAAAAAAATTAAATATAAGATCTGGAATGGGATTAAAAAGGCAATGAGCTCCAGAAAAATCAAATCTACTACAAATCAAGATAATCCAGAAAGAGACTAACAAAAGCACTGTGAAGAACCATTGCAGTAGGAACACCCAGAGACTAGCTGTGTGGTCACAAGTAACATTTAAAAAATGCTTTCTGTATCTGTTTCTAAATTAAGTTAAAAAGTTATTTTTTACTTTAAAAAGTTTTTTAAAAAGTAACCTTAGCTGTGTTTCAAAAAATCTTATACATCGTATAACAAAATAGCTGTAATTTCCAGCATTTGCTCATTTAGTTCACCTTTCCCACTGGGCATTTCTTTGAGAGACTTATAATAGTCGCTGCCTTTCCTTTCTCAGGGTCTTTTCTTGCCTGAAATTCAGACTCCCTTTCCTTGTACTTTGAAGTTTTTTTTTTCTCAAACTCTGCAATCCTTATCCAGTACTAATGAGCAAAAGCTTTAGAGGCAGGCGTGCTTGAGCTGGAATATTCCAGCTCTGTCACTTAATAATTGTGCAAATAACTGTGTGCCTGTGGGCAAGTTACTTAAACTCTCTGAGCCTCACTTCCTTCATTGGTAAAATAGGGATAATAATAGCAAACTCACTGGATAGTGGGGGAGTCACCAGAGGTCATAGCTATAAGATGTTTGGCACATACAAGATGTTAGTGGGACAGTTGATGAAATCAGAATTAGGCCTGTAGGTTAGTTAATTCCCTGATTTGAATAGAGGTACAAGACCTAAAGATTAAATAATAGTTTTGTATTAATTTATTGATTTTGATCATTGTGCTGTGGTTATGTAAGAGAATATCCTTGTTTTTAGGAAAGAAAAGGGCACCATCTTTGCAACTGACTCTCAAACAGTTCAGAAAAAAATGTGTATATATACACACACACACACAGAGAACCATAAAGCAAATGCAGTAAAATGTTGACATTTGGAGGAATCAATCAAGGTATTCTTTGTACTGTTTTTTCAGCTTTTTTCTAAGTCTAAATTATTGCAAAATTAAGTAAAAATTTAGAAAATCCTTAGCAAATGGCAGACTCTACTTTTTCTCACCTTCTTTCCCAGCCTATAGAGCCATGGTGATAATATGCAGCAGGCATTTTTAACTGAATTGAGGCAGAAAGTGTTTACACAGGGGTTGTGCTAAACAAACTAAAGCCTGCTGCCTGTTTTCATATGGCCTGCCAGTTAAGAATAACTTTTTACATTTTTAAATGCTTGAAAAAAATTCAAAAGGAGAATAATATTGTGTGACATTTGAATACAACATGAGATTAAAATATCAGTGTCCATAAAGTCATATTAGAACAGAACCACTCCTGATTCTCTACATATTGCATATGGCCACTTTGACACTACAGTGGCAAGTGAGTAGCTGAAATAGAGACCATCTGACCCACAAAACCTAAAATATTTTTTATCTGACCCTTTATAGTAAAAGCTTACCCAAAGACTATAGACTGTAGTTTGTTTCTAATACTTAAAGTACTTGACTTTGTTTTGTAGGTGAACTAGCGATAATAATAGCCATTGTAGTACTGAATGATTTAGCAATGGTGTGTCACTCTGCCTCACCATCCAAGTAATATGTTACCACCCATATTTCACAGATGAGAAAACTGAGGCACACTGGAGTGAAATGACTTGCCAATTGCCATAGAACCAGGAAGCGATGGATTCTCTAAAGCCACATTGTCTGAATTTCAAGCCTGACTTATTTTTAAAGGGCCTGCTTCTTTCTGTCCATACTTCATTTTTTAGTTCCTGTCCAAGTGTGCATACATAGTGTGCTGAGATGTAAAACCTCCTGCTCCAAGATAATGGGGAT